TGTTATTCTAATGCAACAGGTTTATGTTAAACTTAAGGGTTGTGATTCATCATAGTCCAGAGCTCTGGATGCTGATGCCAACCCCTCCAAGTTGGGACAGGAAGGGCTTGGCCCAAGCCTACCCCCAGACCAGCAGGCAGGTGGAGGGGGGGCTGCACACTGTTGCCGCCAAGCTGGGCCATGTGGGAGAGCCCCAGGACCAATCTTCCCTCTAAGCTGTGGAATCTTGTGAGCAAAACTTCTACTCTGTGAGCTACTGGCATGAAATTTGTGAGTGAGCAATTTGGCTACTGCATAAATTAGTTGGCTCTGGAGTAATCCTTCCTGAGCGAAGACAAAAATCTGTGAGCTGGAGGCTGAAAAACTGTGAGCTAGCTCACACTAACTCAGCTAAGAGAGAACACTGCCCAGGACCCTTTAAAGCTGCAGCACAGCTCGAGGGATTGGCCTTTGGTGGCCTGGTGGGTGGCAGGGAAAGTGACTGAAGCAAACCTCTGATCACTTTTCCTTGTGAGAGGCCAGGTTGGCAGGCCTCACTGGGCAAGCCTCGAAAAGGGGCCAGAACCCTAGCCGAGGAGGAGGTTGGTATTCTCCAGGCAATGCAGGAGAGGCCTGAAAAAAGGAGGGGGGGGGAATCAGCTGGTGGTAATTCACTCCCATCTCTAATCTGAGGCCTAGCACTGCAAAAGGGGCCTGTTACAGAGGCAGGCATGGTGGGAGGGGAAAGGGGAAACCCCACCCAGTCCCAGAAGATGAAGAGGCTTCCCTCACAGTTATACCCACACAGGGTATAACTAAGCATAGAAGATGCAATCCAAGGCATTTAAGATTTCACATGTCAAAATCAGCACCCTGGACTATGCCCAGAGGACAAATCCCCACAGAAGTCTTGATGCAACACATGCTACTGGCTTTCACATTAATCTATAGCAATTAAGGCCCACAAACTACCCATATTTTGTACTTATAAGACAATACTTGGCATCTTGTTTATTTTATATGAATGCACTATACTGTAGGAAAACAAAAGCCCCGCTTGCCTCACTGTTATTGTTTTGTTGTTTATGTTGTGCTATCTCCTTGCATTCAGCTGATCTTATCTAAGAAAAAGGTATGGGATAAGGAAGCCACTTCTTGCATTGACCATCTGACGTTCTGCCTCTCTGGTTAACTGAAAAAGAAAAGGATGCTTTTGCCCATGTCACCTTGGTCTTGGTAAGCTGCTTATCAGATGGGGCCACATGGCAGTGAAAGGTGAGGTAAGGACAGGACCACAGAAGACATGAGCAAAAGGAAATACTGCTACCTTTTCCCTCTTACATCAACTGGAAAAGGTCCCCTTTTAGAGAACAAAGTTCAGTGAAACACTTGGCAGCCATACAAGGACATCTCCTGCAGAAGCTGAGGGGAGGGGCCGTGGCCCAGTGGCAGAGCATCTGCTTGGCATGCAGAAGGTTCCAGGTGCAATCCCTGGCATCTCCAGTTAAAAGGGTCAGGTAGTAGGTGATGTGGAAGATCTCAGCCTGAGACCCTGGAGAGCTGCTACCAGTCTGAGTAGATGATACTGACCTTGATGGACAGATTCAGTATAAGCAGGGGTCATTTCCTGCAGGAGCACACAGGAGCGGAGCTCCAGCAGTAAAGACCCCAGGAGGCGGTCACATGCAACAAGCCCCACCCCCTGCTCCTTCTCTCCCTCTTTCCTTCTATTTCTTTCTTTTCCTCCTTTTTCCTTCTTTCCCTCCTTTCTTTCTATCCTTCCTTCCCTCCTTATTTCCATCTCTCCCTCTTTCTTTCCCTCTTTCTCCCTCCCCCCTGCACAGATCTATGTGAGGGCAGATCTGTGCATCCCCCACCCACCCCCCACCCCCCCCCAATAGCTAGCAATCCAAAACAGTCCAGTGGAGCCTGAGTGGTGGGTGTTGCCTTCTGACACACTTCCGGTGATGTCAGGGGGTGTGGCATATGCAAATAAGTTATACTAATGAGCTCCCTCACCTCTTTTTCTACAAAATGACCCCTGAGTATAAGGCAGCTTCATGTGTGTTCATGTTTCTCAAGATAGGGCATGTAGCGAACTCCTGTAATTACTTACTATGCCTATGCACACTTTTGCTATTATTCTGTCTGCTTTTGTGACTGCTGCATTGCAACGTGTAAGTTCTGCAAAGCGTCTCTAAAATTAGATACTTACCAGTCTCTCCTGCTGTCTTATTCTTACCATGAGGCTTATAAAGAAAATATGAACATCCTTTTACATGGAAATGATCATTAATTTGTCTAAACCACCTGGAAAAAAGTACAGAATTTCATACTCTGAATGTAAAAAACCAAAAAATTGACCTGTCAACACATTTTAATCCTTTACTTCTGCCTGTATGAATCCGGAAGGCATTCATACATGCTCAGTCTCTTGGTAATAAGCATGTCACTTTACATGCAAAGGAAAAGAATGGGCTTTTTTTTCAGATACCATTCAGATGCCCACACTACAGCAGGTCCTAGCTGTGTGCACCTCTGCCTATTTTCTCCCCCAGCTTTCCTTCTGTAGCCTTCTAATATCTGCCCCCTCAGTTCTGGGGGGGGGACCCTTCTCCCTTCAGTTCCCCCACCTTCTTTGGCTCTGCTCCTTTTGCCTGTCTTGCCCCTCTGAACAACCAGAGCAACTCAGCCAATAAGAGACTTTCATTTCCCTGAACTGCTGTGATATAACAGCCGCTCACCCAGTCACTGGTAGAAGCATCACGAGTGATTTGCCTGCAAGTCTGAAAGCCTTTACACTCAACTCCTGAACAAAGATGTCCACCAAGACTTTATTCACTTAACCAAGTTCTGTATGGTAATACGGATACCCAATTCAAATATTTGCAAAATGCAAACATTTTAATTGTAATAGCACAGTATATTTCAATAATTTTACCTCATTAGTGTAGTATTGCCAGTAAATGGACCAAATCTAATTTCTTCAAAAGGGGGTTGAAAACCCAATATATGCAAAGCTTCTTCTTGAGTAATAGGTGGTAAACTGAATAGGAAAATAAGGATATGAAATAATTATAATCAACTATTAGGGTGTATTTTAATGTCATACCGAAGCTCTTAGGACTTATTCCCAGGTGAATATATTCAAACAGTTTTTGTAGAAATTACTTACTTTCCAGCTCCTATTGTGCTATACAGAAAATTCCAGCAAGACACTAGAGAAGAAATCCCACAGGAAGTCTTATATTGTGGCCGACTTATACAGTACCTAAAAAAGAAAAGTTATTAGTGTAGTCATTTCAAGTTTTTGTTATAATGACAAACTGATATATAGCAACAACTACTTCCTAATTTCACTGTTCCCTTTTCTTTTTTTACTGTACAGAAAAACATACACTTATGTTTGGTTGTGGAACTGACCTCACAACCAAAAGGCTGGCAGCTATCAAGAGAACCAGTATCCTAATTCAAAATAAAGGAGGAAAAATACTTTCAACAAAAACATACTCAAGGCAACTTACAGGAGTAATTTTCACATTACCTGAGCCAGCTTCGGCTGGGAGGGCAGGGCAGAAATATGAGGAATGAATAAATATAATAAATAAATTACTAACTATAAAAACAACAATATTAGAACAGATAGATAAATCCAGAAGCAACAGATAACATACTGCAAAAAGCAGTTCAAGAAGAAATCAAAGTAGATTTTTTAAAATCTCAAAGTTGGGTAAAAAGACATAAAAATAGCATGGGAAA